TGAAATTATGGTTTTGTGATTTCATTTGACATAAATATTATTGAGGGATGTGTTGATTTCCAAATATTTGGTTTTTTTTGACATTTTGTTATCAATTTTTAGTTTAATTCTGTTGTAGTCATTAAAGAATGTTCTTTGTATGACTTTAGCCCTTTTAAATTGGTTAATATTTATTTTGTAGCTCAGAATGTACTCTACTTTGAATTTTCCATGCATTTAAAAATATTTATTATGCTATATATGGTTGGGTTGTTTTATAATGTCTGTAAGGTCAAGTTGTATGATAGTGTTGTTCAGGTATTCCAAGTCTGTGTGTAGGTGTGTTTTTGTCTAGTGTTTTCAGATTATTGAGGAGGGTATATTGAAATTTTCAATAGATTTGTCTCTTTCAGCTTCATCAATGTTTTCTTTGTATAATTTGAAATTCTTTTGCACTTAGTTATGTGCACATTTAGAATTGTTATGCCTTCATGATGAAATCATTATATAATCTCCCTCTTTATTATCCCTGAGAGTATTCCTTGTTCTGCAGACTACTGAAGTAGTTTATTATATTGTTGGATTGAAAATCTTAATCTACCTCCTTTTAGATTATTTTTATTTATTTATTCTGTTTTCTTAATTTATTTCCATTTGTCTTTTATGTATCAAAGATAAATTTGTACAAATTTGATAAAAATTTTATGTACCAAATTGAATTTTTTTATGGATTTGTTTTATTTTCATTTCTCCTAAAAATAATTTTAGTAGTGGCTCCTTTTTAGTGTTTCTTTGTTATTCTTTCCCATGGTAATTCAGTTCAGATGCTCTCAGGATAATTGCATATCTGATTCATTCTGTTCAATTAATTTTTCATTATTATATTTTTCATCTATAGACTTTATCTGCTTCTTTTTAGATACCATTTTCCTTACATTTATTTATTTTTTTTTACATCCTTGAGTATACTTACAATAGCTTATATAAAGTCTTTAACAGCTATAATCCCATCATCTCTGTTTTTTCTCCATTTTCAATTGACTGAATTTTCTCCTAGTTATTGTGTCATAATTTTCTGCTTATCTTATCTAGTGTTTTTTTTTTTTTTTTTTTACAAAGTGTTTGTAGTTTGAATTTTATGTCATTGAGCACTAGGTTTGTTGTAGTTCAGTTAAAAAGAATATTGGACTCTTTTTCTTTTAGAAGTTGTTAAATCCTTCTGTGACTTATTTTTAAGTTGTGGTATGGGGAATTTAGGAATAGTTCAACTCCACTGCCAGGGACTAAACCCTCTGGAGGCAGTGATCACCCTGGATATTCAACAAGGATTCTTCACTTTGATGTAAACTCTGGAAACTATGTGAGCTTCAGTAAATCTTTGGCATAGTCAGTCACTTTTGCCCAGCTTCATGGAATTTTTTCATACATGGCATTTTCTACAGCAGACCTAAATGAATCCTTCTGCAGTTGTCTAAAACTCTTAACTATGTATAACACCTTCTACTCTAGCCTGCATATTCTAATTTCCTCAGGCCTCCTGAATTCTTTCTGTTCAACTCAGATTGCTATTATTATTTTGATTGCCATGCTACTGGCACTGAAATCCAGATGTTGCCTTTAGGCAGAATGTATGCACTAATATTTGGAAAGTATCTGTAGGTAGAGAGTTTAAGCAAACCTGTGGATTATCTCATTCGTTCACTTTTGGGACTTACTTAGTACTGCCTGTGTAGCCTAATGTCCCCAGTTACCTCAATATATATTTTAAGTTTTTCATCTCCAACAGATTTATATTTTTCCATACTTTTTATTGGTGCATTATGATTATACATAATAACGGGGTTCATTGTTACATATTCATTTCTGCCATGATATGACAATATAATTAGGCCAGTATCAGTCCCTAGTATTTCTCATTTCCCTTTTTATCTCCTGTTGCTCTTTTTCATCTCCTGTACTGATCTCCCTTTAATATTTGTGAAATGCTACCCCCTCATACTTTTTCCCTTTTTTCTCTCTAGCTTCCATATATGAGAGAAAACATGACCCTTAACTTTCTGAATTAGGATTATTTCATTTAACATAATGTTATCAAGCTTCATCCATTTTTCTGCAGGTGACATAATATCATTCTTCTTTATGATTTTTAATATTTTTAGTTGTAGATGGACACAGTACCTTTATTTTATTTATTTTTATGTGGTGTTGAGGATCGAACTCACTGCTTCACACATGCTAGACAAGCGCTTTACCACTGAGCTACAAACCCCAGCCCACATTCTTCTTTATGGATAAATAAAATTTCATTATGTATATACACCACATTTTCTTATCCATTCATCCATTGATGAACACCTAAGCTAGTTCTATAATCTTCCTATTGTGAATTGTGCTACTGTAAACATGGGTGTGCATGTGTCACTACAGTATGATAACTTTAATTCCTTAGGATAAATACTGAGGAGTGGTATAGCTGAATCTTATGGTGATTTCATTTGTAATCTTGAGAAACTTCCATATTGATTTCCACGGTGGTTGTACTAATTTACAGTCCCATCAACAGAGTAAAAGTGTTCCTTTTTCTCCACCTCCTCTCCAGCATTTAGTATTTATTRTTTGTATTCTTAATGATTCCCATTCTAACTGGATGGAATAAAATATCAGAGTAGATTTGATTTGCATTTCCCTAATTGCTAATGATGCTGAATTTTTTCATGTGTTCATTGAATTCCCCCCCCC